GCACCAACGTATAGACAGCCCATTTTTCCAGCTTCGTCATTGCTCGTCGACGCTCGGCTAGCTGGATGAGTGCAGGCAAGCGCCAACGTGTGTATGGTTCGTTTGGCGTGCCTTGCCGCAACTCGGGATCGCTCGCTACGACTCGTCCACTTCGGTAGAGTGTCGGTTTTCTGCACAAATCAAAGGCGCTCGCATGCACTCGGCAGGTTAGGCCCGGTTCACATTTTGAGAAGTGACAAGTGCGAACAATGGTGGGAAGTTCCACGAAAGTTCAGAATGAGTCATAAAATAGCAGATGTTAAATTTGTAATTTGTTTTGTCATTTGTTACTGTTTGTGTGTATCTTATATGTATGTATGTATTTTTATTGTAGCTATAGTTCCTCCTAAATAATATAAATAAATAAAGCTCGACTGTTACTTATAGAGGTATAGATAAGTAGCAGTCTCACTTACGGAGGTCCATGATGGAAAAACGACTCTCTCTCTTACAGAGGTTTCTGTTTATCGCTAATAGAGGTTTCTGGAGCTTAAAATGACGGGTCCTGGCTATTACTCTCACGTATAGAGTTTTCTCACTTATCGAGTTCTCGCTTACCCAGGTTTGCCTGTATATACTAAAAAGAAATAACGAAAGAACAAGAAAATGAATATTAGAATTTTCAAATCAATTATGAATTTCATGATTTAAGCGTAAAAATGTAAGTTTTTTAATTTATTAATAACTGAAGACAAAATATCACTACTTGTTGCACTTTACGTTAGATAGCACTGTTCAATTTATTATGTAACGGTTAAAACTAATTTTAGACTGTATTTATAAATATTTTATTTATTGTAGTAAAATAAATCAATCATATTAAATAGAAATTAACATCCAAAGAAAGGAAAATACTTAACCATCCTTTTTGGAAGTTCCGTAATCGGGTGAAAATAGCCTATTAGTTGATCTAAATCACTAACTACCTGTACACAAAATTTCACGGAAATCTATTAAATTGTTTTTGGGTGAATCATGAATACACAAACAGACAGACATAAATTCTCACAAACACTAATTTGACTTCAGTGCCCTTTATACAATATATACATGTATATAGTGTATAGTCCCCTGGTCTAGTTTTTTTTGTTAGAAAATGATAGGAATACAGCTACGAATTTCCTACAGATTTATTATATGTATAAATTAGGAATGACTACTATTATTAACCTTTCAATATGCACGCGGTCGGATCCGACCACGGCGATATTCCATCTAATTCTCTCTAGTACACAGTAATCTATGATCTAATTCCAAGTGGTCGGATCCGACCACTTATACCCACAGCACTTTAACCCATAAATTTTTATATTTAGGGACTACCTTTCTATGAAGAAGTTTGACATTATAGGCTCAATATGAATATGTCTATCCTCTAATTTTAATAAAAAGTTTGTTAGTCTATGATTTGACATTTTTTGTATTCTCCTTTCAAATTGCGCCATTTGGGTGTGGTTGCCATTGTGTAGTGCTGCCTTGTTTTTGGATTTTTCTAAAGTAAATACAGTGTTTTATTATAAAATTGTTATAAAAGTTTTTGTGTGAATATAATTTATCGTTTTACGTAAAAAAATTCGAGTAATATATATATATAAATAAAAGTGATTTTCATGCTGCCGACGTACGCGTCGTTTTTAACGTTTCTTGGTATCAAAATACAATAAAATATTTTTTAATGAAGTAAAACCACTAAAACAAGTAATATAACATAATAAATAAACAGAAATAAGTATTATATTGAAGTTTACAACGATTTTTATTGATAATAAAAGTACGACAAATTCCATGTACTGAACATATAAATGCAGATGCAGGAGTGTACAATAGGGTACGGAATATAAGAACGGAAAAGGAAGGTAGGTAGGTAGGATTTTTTTTTCACTTAATGATAATTTAATAGTGTGCAAAAGGTGCCTTTATGAATCAAATTAACTCATCCTAAATATTATTTGGATTGATTCAGAGTAACTGCCTTCGCAAGGTCATTGAAATTTTATAAAAAAGATGATTTTCGAATATTGATGCTATGTATATATGTTATTATTAAAAAAATGTTTATATTTTGTTAGATGAGACTGAACAAACCATAGATCAGGATAGTAACAAGTGCTATCACAAAACATGGCTCCTTTAAGCAACATTTATTTACCATAGGTGTTACAGATAGTCCCCTGTGCAGGGCATGTATGGGGAAGGAATAAACGACGGCCAACGTATTGTTGACATATCCGGAGGTCACTGCATGCAGGACTAAATATCTCAACACGCCGGGATCACTTCCCAAAGTTGCTTGCATCATGAAAGTACCGTTGAACTTCTTCGGGGAGATTTCATGGGTTGAATAATCACATTATGGGCAGAAATAATACGATTTAGATTTTGTATACAATGCGGACGAAACAGGTCTCAATTGGAAAGCTTTACCAAGCAGATCATTAGCATTACTTCGTGAAAATGCAGCATCAGGGCACAACGTGAGTGAGGATATTATACCAATGAAATTGTTATTTGCAATTTTAAGTACTGATTTACCACGTGCTCGGCGGTGAAGGAAAACATCGCACTTGTCACTTCTCAAAATGTTACCGGGCCTTAGTCGGCCATGTCAGTTACAGCTTGGCGTCCGTGAGATATTGTTTTAATTGTAATACTTTCTTCACCACCTTCTTTTTTGCCTCTTCTTTTTAATAACTTTACTGCGGAACTCAGTGATATAATAATAAAATACACTCTTTAAATAATAGCAGAAGCTACAATAACTTTTACGTCGTCCATATCGTTCCAATTCTCAATGACAGCTAACTACAGTCAACATGTGGATACGAACTTGACCAACGTGTAGACTGTAGCACTCGCCTCGTATGTGCAAATTTGCCTACGGTCGCGATGGCTGAGGCTTGGCCAACATGTGTTGCCGGGGTAAGAGTTTAGCACAGTTAGGTCGATTTTTGAAATCGGATTTTCTAGTTTGAGTAATCGATACGAATCGATTTATGTTTGAATTCGGATTTCAAATTCGTTTTGATATGTTTGACGCATGCCTACAAGTTGATTGAATCCCTCTAAAAGATGCAGGAGCGTACAATAGGGTATGGAAGGTAAGAAAGGAAAAGGAAGGTAGGTAGGTAGGATTTTTTTTCACTTAATGATAATCTAATAGTGTGCAAAAGGTGCCTTTATGAATCAAATTAACTCATCCTAAATATTATTTGGATTGATTCAGAGTAACTGCCTTCGCAAGGTCATTGAAATTTTATAAAAAGATGATTTTCGAATATTGATGCTATGTATATATGTTATTATTAAAAAAATGTTTATATTTTGTTAGATGAGACTGAACAAACCATAGATCAGGATAGTAACAAGTGCTATCACAAAACATGGCTCCTTTAAGCAACATTTATTTACCATAGGTGTTACAGCTAGTCCCCTGTGCAGGGCATGTATGGGGAAGGAATAAACGACGGCCAACGTATTGCTGACATATCCGGAGGTCACTGCATGCAGGACTAAATATCTCAGCACGCTGGAATCACTCCCCAAAGTTGCCGATATGAAAGTACCGTTGAACTTCTTCGGGGAGATTTCATGGGTTGAATAATCACATTATGGGCAGAAATAATACGATTTAGATTTTGTATACAATGCGGACGAAACAGGTCTTAATTGGAAAGCTTTACCAAGCAGATCATTAGCATCATTTCGTGAAAATGCAGCACCAGGGCACAAAGTGAGTGAGGATAAAATTACAGTTATGGTTTGCGAACACATCGATTACCACATAAATTATTGCAATTACCTCCATCTAATTTTTCAATTATACCGTACAAAGATTTCAAAAAATAACAGAAGCAATAAAAATTCTTAGCACTGGTGAAGAGTACGATGAAGAGAATATCAAAGAGGGGCTTAACTGCCATAGTGGAGACCCTGGACACCAAATATTAAGTTATGAAGAAATCATTGACAATTTGAATAGTAACGAGAGAGAAGATGAAGAAGAGACTGAAACTGGGGTGTATGTCAAGTACCATCTAAAACAACTCTCCGTTTCTCTACAAAACGCAGCACAATTTGCTACTTTACATAATTACGTAAGAGCGTGGTCTTTCATGCTGCAGCCATAAAACAACTGCATGGTAACTCTATCATTTATGATATTGTACCTTGTTTACTCCTTTTATTTATTGACTATTTCACTATATTATATGGTATTATATTATATCCAAGAGCCGTGGTAGCTCAGTGGTTAACGCTCGCTGTAAATATAACAGAACGCGAGTAACCCGGGTTCGATCCCCGCCGGCACCAATGAAATTGTTATTTGCAATTTTAAGTACTGATTTACCACGTGCTCGGCGGTGAAGGAAAACATCGTGAGGAAACCTGCATGTCTGAGTAATAAGAAAAAAAATATTTCGAAGACATGTGAAGTTCGTCAACACGCATTTGGGCAGCGCGGCGGACACTTCCTTGCCCTAAACCCTCTCAGAAATGAGGGGAGGCCTGAGCCCAGCAGTGGGACGTATATAGGCTGTAACTTTACTTTTACTTTATATTATATCCATAACAATAATCATATCACCAATAATTACGTGAACCCCATACTATAATTTTCTCCTGTATCGGGTAGTTTACAAACATAAATTGCACAAGGACAAACATTTAGACCCCGAACAATTATTTCTAGGATTCGGAGCAAATACTTGTTACCTGCAGTTTTCAAATAGCGCCGCCAACGGACCTGGCACTATCACATAATAATTGTTATATTCAAATATTTTCCTTTTAAAATTGGCAGAATTTCAATATAATACGCTACTTATTCAACTGACGAGCTGTCTTAGATAACCGATTGAAGTGATCACTTTCCGTATCTCCCTCATTGTAGATCGTCTGATATATAAGTCGCTATTACCGATTCATATGTAAATAAAGCATTGCAGTGTTAAGTAGAAAGCATGAAGCAGTTCGTAATTTTAAGGTACCTATTTATTTAAGTCAATTAAAATAAATTTGTCAGTAAATATATTTAAGTCTATGGCCGGTTGTAATTAAGGTATTTGTAATCAAAATGTTAATAGTGTTTCACAAATAATTTCAATGAAGTCATAATATAATATTGGGTCCTTACATACGAAATTAACGTTTTGTCGTACTGACCACTTTGAACTGAAATATCACTTCTTTAGTTAAGAATTTCAAATTCAAATTTATAAATTCATTTAGCTGGTACATTGATTTTGAAAACAGTCATTCCTTGTTTTTTGTTTGTTTTTTCCTCATTATTTTTTTCCTTGGCGTCGCTTATTACCGCACAATGGAAAATATGAAATATCGGTATATTTACGAACACGAATTCTACCGTGCCACCAGTGCTGTAGAAACAGCTCAAAGGATTAATGATGTCTACGGTGCTGGTGTCGCAAAAGAAAGCACGGTACGTTTTTTGGTTTCTACGTTTTCGTTCTGGAAATTTCAACCTTCAGAATCAACCCCGTGGACGGCCGGAGACCAAAGTGGAAAATGAAGAATTAAAGGCTATTGTGAAAGCGGATCCATCACAAAGCACTTCAGAGGTAGCTGCAGGCTTCGGGGTAAGTGATAAAACTGTATTGATCCACTTGAAGCAAATCGGGAAAGTAAAAAAACTTGAACGATGGGTACCTTACGAATTGAGTGAATCGAACTTGCAAACACGCGTCGACTGCTGTATTACTTTGCTCAACCAACACAAAAATGAAGGGATTTTAAATCGAATCATTACTTGTGATGGAAAATAGATACTGTACGATAATCGGAAGTGCTTGTCGCAATGGCTGAACCCTGGAGATCCAGCCAAATTCTGCCCTAAACGAAAATAGATTTAGAAAAAGTTACTTGTGAGTGTTTGGTGGACTAGCGCCGGTGTCGTTCACTACAGCTTTCTAAAAATCTGACCAAACGATTACGGCAGATATCTATTGTCAGCAACTGCAAACCTTGAAGGAAGAATTAGCTGCTAAACAACCGAGATTGGTCAATCGCTCTAGGCCACTACTGCTTCACAACAACACAAGATCACACACTGCACACCAAAAAACACTAAAATAGATGAGCTACAAGGTGTGACATTCACCGTATGCTCCGGACCTTGCTCCAACAGATTACCATTTTTTCCGCATCTATATATAATTCGGACAGCTTCCTACAAGGAAAAAAATTCAACTCCGATGTGGCAGTCCAGACCACCTTCAAAGAGTTTATTGATTCTCACCCCCATGTTTTTTAGTAAAGGGATCAATGAACAACCTATGAGATGGCAAAAATGCATAGATGACAACGGTACATACTTTGATCAATTAAATATATTTTACAAAAAAAATGATTCCTCCAGTACAAAACTCCAATTTCATATGTAAGGACCTATTATTGAAGTTTCGATCAGTGGCGTAGCATGAGGGTGCAAATTTGTTAAGTGGCTTGGGTGGAATTTACCCAGACGCTAGAGCTAAAAATACGTCCTACCTCGCGTCCTATTTCGAATTATCTTTCTCTCCTGCGCAGTTATTATTCACATTGTGGTGGGGTTTGCCTTTCTGAAATTTCACTTCTATCTTCCTCTACCGAGGTACATGTTGACCATATCCATACTTCTTATTTTCGGTCTGTACCGTCTTCAAAGTCTAGAGATGTTCAGAATAAGAACTTTGGTTTCAATGTAGTCTACAGACTACGTCTCGATCTCTAGGACGATGCCTTGTATTATTGTGTGCCACAGCCCACAAATAATTCCGGCTCTGGAAGGTTGTCGGTGTTATTTTAATTGCGTTAACTGTTCACAATGTTCAATTTATATTACGTTTAAAATGTGCGATTCTTATATAATATACTCAATATAAGTAATTTTAAATGTTTCTCCGAAAACTCTAACAAAATGGTTTGAAATGTTGTATTCAGATAGTGTTTTGCTTTCCAATTGTATCTAATCAAGCATATTTTTTTTGAACATGAAACATGAAACAGAGCTCATTTATCTAGATTCTGTAGATATGTAAAACGAATTGAAATGGGATTTATCACAGTGACAACTTATTCTTTATTATTAGTTTTTATTAAAGTACTGCATAAGCTAAGAAATAAAAAAAAGGTTCGAATCCCGCACGGAACAAGTATTTGTATGGCCTTACAAATAACCTAGTGTGGATGTTACGTTTTTTAAGAAAAACATACCGCTCTCAGAAATGAGGACTATATTTTGTTTCTTTTTTTAACTTTAAGTAACTATCACCGTTTAATGATTATACAATTATATAATATTATTATTTTAGCTTACTTCTAGTGGGCTATAATGCCCGTACAACGAAGCAAGAACGACGATTTCCTGATGATTTCGTCTTTGGGGCAGCTACAGCATCATATCAAATAGAGGGAGGATGGAACGCAGATGGTATTATATTCTTCATAATTTTCACTATATATAAATACATTAAGAGAAAAAGAATTATAACACCATATTCTATTTCAGATAAAAGTGAAAGCATTTGGGATCACATGACTCACAATAAACCCACTGTAATCAAGGACCAGAGCAATGGTGACATCGCGGCGGATACTTACAACAACTACAAGCGCGACGTTGAGATGATGAGAGAACTTGGTCTGGATGCTTACCGTTTCTCTTTATCCTGGTCTAGAATATTGCCTAATGGCTTAGCCAACAAGGTCAGTGAAGCAGGCGTTGCTTTCTATAACAATTATATCGATGAAATGATAAAATATGGCATCACTCCAATGGTAACACTTTACCATTGGGATCTACCACAAAAACTTCAAGAATTAGGTGGCTTTGTGAACCCTTTGTTCCCAGAGTGGTACGAAGACTATGCTAGAGTCGTGTATGAACAATTTGGAGATAGAGTCAAGCATTGGATAACGTTCAATGAACCCAGAGAGATCTGCTATGAAGGATACGATACGACTACAAAGGCTCCGCAACTGAACGCTACGGGCATTGGTGCATATCTCTGCGCAAAAAATCTAGTTATGGCACATGCTAGAGCTTATTATGCCTACAAAAATGACTTCGCTCCAAGTCAAGGTGGAGTTTGCGGTATAACAATCAGTGTTGCTTGGTTCGAGCCAAAGACTGACTCAGAAGAAGATCAATTCGCTGCTGAAATAAAGAGGCAAGGAGAGGTGAGACAAAAATTCGTAATTTTGCAAATTTTAAATTTTTCTTGTCGAAGAATATGATTGACAGTTCTATCTCATTATAATATTTTTCAGTGGGGCCTCTACGCAGAGCCAATATTTTCAAAAGATGGTGGATTTCCTAAAGAATTATCGGAAATAGTTGCCCAAAAAAGTATTGAACAAGGATATCCAAGATCCCGCATGCCTGAGTTTACTGATGAAGAAAAGGCCTTTGTTAAAGGTGCAGCCGACTTCTTCGGAGTGAATCATTACACAACTGTTTTAATTTCGGCAACGGAAAATTTAAACGAGCATGTAGTACCTTCTTTATCTGATGATGTAGGTACAGGAAACTATGTTCCAGATGATTGGCCTAAATCTGCATCTTCATGGTTATACGTAAGTTCATTAAGTAAATTATTATATAAAGTAAGTTCTTAATCGTAGCGGCGTAAAATATGCCACACCCTAGTTTTCGCACCATGAGGCAAAAAGGAAAAGAAATGGCCCCGAGTTCCCGGCGCCCCTTTAATGGGGCAGGGGTACGAAGAATCTCCGTGAAGAAAACCGGCGACGAGGTTCGCCAGCAGTCACGTTCTGTCTCCCGGAGGGGCGAAAAGAGGATTGCAGAGGCCCGTCTAGCTACGCTGAATGTATGTGGAGCAATGAGTGATAAGATGGATGAAGTATGCGATATGATGTTTTGTAGAGGAATAGATGTGTTATGTGTAAATGAGACGAAGCGGAAGGGAAAGGATGTCACTACACATGGCATATATACCGCTTACTGGTACGGTATAGACGAGACCGAGCGAGCATGCCAGGGAGTCGGTATCATCCTTTCAGAAAGAATGGGTCAATGTGTGAAAGAGTATGAATGTGTAGGCCCGAGACTGCTATGGATACGAATAAAAGTGGGCCTAAAGAAGTTGTTTGTTCTAGGGGTCTATGCCCCAGACATGTCTAAGCCCACTTGTATCCGAGAGCAGTTTTGGGAGTTGGTAAGGATGGTGTTAATGAAATGTAGGAAAATGAAAATATTGTTATGTTAGGAGATTTTAATGGAAGGGTTGGGGTGAGGAAGCTTGGCTATGAAAGGATACTGGGAACGTTTGGTGCTGAAAGTATTAATGAGAATGGTGACAGCCTCCTCACCGTATGTGTGGAAAGGAATCTTTTTGTGACGAACACTTTCTTTCGTCATAAGAAGATTCACATGTAACTTGGGAAAGAGGTGATGATAGAAGCATGATAGATTTCATAACTGTGGATGAAAGAATGAGGAGCGAAGTGGTGGATACAAGGGTTTACCGGGGGTCCAACGTAGGGGCGGACCACTACCTGGTCTTATGCCGAATTAGGGGTTTATTCAGACGTTGGCGGCATAGGACATCTGTGTCTACCACTGCGTTACAGTGTGTAAGAATTAAGAGGTTACAAGATGAAGATGTGAAAGACAAGTACAAATGCAGACTGAGAGAAAATATAAGTAATTTGGATGAGTTGTGTGTGAAGGAGTTAGACTTGGAGAATGTGTGGCATAATGTTAAGAAAGGTTTAGTGGATGCAGCTACCGAAGTATGTGGTGTTAGTAAGAGAACGAATGAAAGGAAAGACAATATGTTATGGTGGGATGATGAGGTACGTATGGAAGTTGAAGCAAAGAAGAGAGCATGGCTAGATTTACTAGCAACACAGGCTGGTAATTCTAGCTGTACGAATGATGATATTGAAAGAAAAAAGGCTGTCTTTGGACATCTTAATAAGAGAGTAAAAGTAGTAGTTGAAAGAAAAAAGCAAGAAAGAACGGATAAGAATGATAGAAGAATATCGGATAACTTCCAGGCAAATATTAAAATGTTCTGGAAACTCGTAAAAAATACCAGGGGACTTTCAAAACAGTCTAGATTGAATGCGATACGAGACGAGAATGGCTGTATCCTGAATGATGAAGTGTTGAGTCTAAAGAGATGGAAGAAATATTTTGAAAGCGTATTTATGGTGAGGAGAAGTGTGAACTAAATGAAATAGAAATTCCGAAAGAAGATGAAAGAGATAAGGAGATAAGTATAGATGAAAAAATGAAAGCAATGAAAAGCATGAAAGTAGGTAAGGCAGACGGATATGATAGAGTTTCACTCGAAGTGCTAAGGGCTGGAGAGGACGTGGTGGCAGGCCTGCTGTACACCTTGTTTAATTTATGGTGGGAACTAAAGCGGGTACCGGGAGACGTGCAAAGCCGTGATAGTCCCAATATATAAGGGAAAAGGGTCACAGCAGGATTGTAAAAACTACCGTGGTATCAGCCTTCTTCGCATTGTGGGAAAACTGTATGCTAAGGTACTAATTGAAAGAGTTATGAAAGAAACTGACGAAAAAAATTTGGGATGTGCAAGCGGGATTTAGAAAGGGAATGGGGTGTACAGATCAAGTCTTTTCCATGCGCATGATCGCGGAGAAGTTTTTGGCGAAAAACCAAAAAGTTTTTTGTGCGTTCATGGACTTGGAAAAGGCTTATGACAGAGTGGACAGGGATGTGTTATGGCAAACGCTGAACACATTTAGGTTGAGCGCTGGTTTGATACAGGCATTAAAGTCTCTGTATTAATGACTGTAAAGACTCGAGTACTTGTGTTAGAATCAACGGGGTCTACTCGGACTGGTTTGGCATCCATAAAGGTGTCAGACAGGGCTGTGTGGCTTCCCCGTGGCTGTTCAACCTATTTATGGACAGCTTTTTGTAAAATTTGAAAGATGAAGAATGCGGGTTAAGAATGGGTGAGTTAACCATCAAATGCCTTTTGTACGCTGATGATCAAGTCATACTTGCGTCGTCGGCGGCCGAGTTGCAAATGATGGTTACATTAATGAACAGGTCATTAAAAGAAAGGGGAATGAAAGTGAACGCAAGTAAGACGAAAGTGATGGTTTTTGAAAGAGAAGAAAGCAAAACAGTATGTGAAATAAGAATAGAAGGAGAGTTAATTGAGCAAGTGGATGAGTTCGTATATTTGGGATGTGTATTCAGCAGGGATGGGAGATATGATAAGGATATTGAACGACGAGTGAATGCAGGAAATAAAGTAAATGGGGCTCTCCACTCTATTGTGAAAAGTCAGAATGTGTCAAAAAAGGCACGTATGGCAATTCACAGTGCTGTATTAGTCCCTACTTTAACGTATGGTAGTGAAAGTTGGGTGTGGCAGAAGAAGCACGAGAGTAGAATAAATGCAGTAGAAATGCGGTCGCTAACGAGTATGTTAGGGCTGAATCTGAGTGACAGGGTGAGAAACTGTGTGATAAAAGAAGAGTGTGGTTTGCAAGATGATGCGGTGACCAGGATTCAGAAAGGAATGCTTCGGTGGTTTGGTCATGTAGAAAGAATGAATGCGGAAAGACTGACAAAGCAAATATATGTTGCAAAAGTGAATGGAAGAGTCGGAAAGGGACGTCCTAGGCGGAAGTTTGTCGACCAAATTGGCGATATACTAAAAATGGGCCAAATTAAGAGTACCCTTAACCGACGAGCATGTATGCGTAGGTATATGGATGTGGAAGAGGCGAGAAAGGTATGTCAGGATCGTGCTAAATGGAAGTCTGTAGTCTCTGCCTACCCCTCTGGGTGAAAAGACGTGAGTGTTTATGTAAATTATGTTGTTTGACAGTAGTTGGTGGAGCCACGTGTTTAAGGCTGCCGAAAATCTAGTTCCCCGGTCAAACCTCAAACCTATTACGCGAGATATTAACTAAAGTGGACTGTATATGCGATTGCTTCTACGCTTACGTTAAAAGCGACTACTATAGCATGCGGTACAATGCACTCGCTCTTCCCTAAACTAAACTATTACTTGTCGAATCGATGAAAGGAATCCTGCTTGATTAGGAAAAAAAACACAGATTGGAGCGGGTTAAACTATTAGCAAGCAGGTATAATTAAGGAATATTGACTCACCGGGGTTTCTTCTTCCTGTCGATCACTATAGCGGCGACTTCCGGAACCTCTTCTGGACAGACACTCTGGGGCCCCAGTGGTGCGTCAGGAGAGAAGCGTTGGTTCAACGACGACTGCGGCGGGAGAAGAGGCTCGCGCATCGGTCGCGCGTGTCTTATATATCCTCGGCTCGGGTGATTACGCGATGTTCTAGAATCGTCTTCTTTCCCCTCCCACCCCACCACCCCGATGTGTCGATAGGAGGGTACGAATGATATTGTTTGGAAAGGAATAATGATTCTACAAGTTCCTACCGTCAATAAAAAACGCGAATGGTTTTCCGCGCAACCATCTCCCCCCGCCCTTGAAGGATTTCCTTCAAAAAAAATAACTAAACAACTAGAGCTAAGATCGACTAACAAATAACTAACTAACGCTAAGATTACCTAAATTAAACTACAATTTCAATCTAGAAAGCTAATTTAAATTATGGAAGAGGCAAGGGGCACAAACGGATAACAGGACGTAGGTAAGACCCAACCGTGGTCTTAACGCGAGCTATCCTAATTACTCCGTCGGAACCGGGAAAGACCTCCTCGACGATTCCTAACGGCCAGTGGAGAGGCGGCGTATTCTCCTTAGTGAGCACAACTACGGTTCCTACAGCTAAAGGCTCTGTCGCTGTGTTCCATTTTTGCCGAGACTGCAAAGTATGCAAGTATTCCATCCTCCATCGTTTCCAAAACGATTGCACTAACCGATCTAATAATTTGTGGCGTGTGGAAATGCTAAGTCTGTTCTCATCCATATCCGCGGCGGGCAGATACCTTAGAGGCGTTAAAGTCAAAAAAATGTGCTGGAGTTAGAGCCAGCGGTTCGGAGGGGTCACTAGATAACGTCCGACAAAGTGGGCGGCTATTCATTACGCATTCAATTTGAGCGAGCACCGTACTTAGCTCTTCGAAGGACAAAATTTGATCTCCTATTACTCGGTATAAGTGGCTCTTTAGACTTTTAATATTAGTCTCCCAATTGCCCCCAAAATGACTCGCGGCTGGGACGTTCAGAGACCACTCAATGCGGTTCTCGGCTAGAATGTGAGCGAACTCCGAATTATAATACTTGCTAGCTAAGAGCTCATGTAGTTACGATAGAATACGTTTTGCACCGACGTAGTTCGTACCGTTATCCGAATATAATTTACTTACAGGGCCTCTGCGCGATAGAAATCTTTTAAATGCACCCATAAAGCCTGCTGTGCTTAGATCACCAACGAGTTCTATATGCACTGCTCGAGTAGTTAGACATACGAAAATGCAGACGTAAGCCTTTGTGGATCTTATACCACGCCCGCGAGTGAGCGTGACCTTAAACGGACCAGCAAAATCAGACCCGGTGTGCGTGAAGGGCTTTACCGATTGTATCACTCTACAAGATCTAAGTTCCGCCATTTCCGGAAATGACGGCT